AGTATTGGGTATATGTTTCTATATTCATTTGAGAAATACATACCGTACACGTAGGGTAAATGAGAAATCAGCAAGGAGGAACAAGAGAACTCTGATGCACTGAATCAACTCTGTAGGAAAAGTTGAACATTCAGTTAAGTGTTTATTGCATGAGACGAAATTTTGAAGAATGGCTTTTTAGGCAAACTTGTCTAAAATGTCCTTAAAGTCTTCTAAAGCTAATAAGATACAATAGTCCACCCAGAAGGATATAAGAAATCGTATCATTCACAGAATGTCAAGGATAAGTGATTTTTATAAATATAAAATTAAATTGAAAGTGCCCTCTGACGAATTGCTTTAAAAACAGATCCTTTAACTGCAAACCTTAGATTTAGGCAAGCTAGTCATTAGGTAAACAGATTTTAGGCAAATTAGCTTCCAGTAAATTGGTTTCCTGCAAATTGCTTTTACTTTTTACACGTTGAGGGCATAGAAATAGAACCTAGAGACTATGCTGATGACCTCTCAGGATGGGCTTTGCCCAGGGGCTGGGCGGAACTGATGCCTCCTGGCCATAACTGATGCCTCCTGGCCATCGAATGCTGGGATGGCCCAGCCTCGGGCAGCATTGTACTACGAGCAGTTTAACACCCCGAATCAGTGAGTCTCAACTCCCTGTGTGTAGTAAGCACCTGTGTGTAGTAAGCACCTGGGAAGCATTTAAAATCCAAATTCCCCGTCCAGAGATTCTGATCCAGTAGGTCAGAGGTGAAGCCCAGGAATTTCAACTTCTAGCCGGCATCAAGGACGGTTGCAGGTGGTCCAAGAACTCCACTCTAAGAATTAGTGCCGTTGTTTGTTTGTGTTCAGAGAAAAGGACAAGAATAAGAGGCTCAGAGTGGTTTTCAAATGTGGCTTTCCAAAAACAATGCTGGACACTCCCTGCACCGCCCCGTAGAATCCCTGAGGGGGCGTGGGGGTTAGCTTCGGGGTGATTCTAGGGTACCCCTGGATGAGGCTGCAAGAACGCTTGGCATGGAGTCCTGGGCCTCACTACTCGGAGCACCCTGTGGGGAGTGCTGAAGCGTGCCTGGGAGGAGCCATCCAGGACCCAGTTGGGAAGCCAAGGCTAACCCAAATGGAGCCAGCAGTAACCAGCACAAAATCGAGCAGAATTAAATGAAGGTGCTGATTATCAGGGTCACAGGAGTTCAGGGCGGAAAGGCTGCAAGGGGCAAGTGGGGCCCTCAGTTGTGCTTTGCAAGGTGAATGCAATTTTGATCATCAGGCAGGAGCAGGGAGGGGATTTCAGGGCATGGGTATGACAAGGCCCTGAGGAAGGAATGAACATGGTTATTGGAAACCCAGTATGGAAACTGGCCTGACTGGAGCAGCCACAGTGGGCCAAGGAGAGGCAGGGCAGGAGATGCCTGGCGGAGCAGGACACGGCTGACCCAGAGTCTCACCTGGACTTGCAGCATTGACTGCAGCAAGGGCTCATTGTGGGACCTCAAGCATGACCTGTGCTTTAGGGAGATGTCTCGCGCAGGGTGAGGGATGGATTAGAGGACTGGGACCCCATTATCTGCACAATAAGAGGAGATGAGGTCCCAGGGCTGGTGTGGTCAAGGGGGCAGAGAACACAGAAGTTTGAAAGGGAAAGATAGAGAGAGAGACAGAAACTCAGAATGACAGATCACATACAGCTGGTTTCAAATTGTGCCTCCAGATCTGTTAGGAGGAATGACTTGGTATTAAGATGTCATAAAGATATAAAAATAGACATTGCCAAGTTACTGAAGGTCTGAGCTGCCCAGGCGCTCCTCAGTTATCCACCGTGTTGGTGAAAGATGGAGACCACAGAGCTAATTCACTAAGAGCAGACAATTCTACCTGATTTTAACCAATTTCTTAATTTCCTTTCTTTTTAGCAAATCTGCTGAGCCAAAAATTATTTTAATCGATTCACTTTCTTTCTCTACTCGTATTTAATTTATGACCATGTGTAGTGAAACCACCAGAAGGGAGACGCAGGCAGGAGAGAAGAGGGAGCTCTCCATGGCCCCAGCATGCCTTTCCTAAGACAATAAGAGTAACTGTCTCCACTAATTTGGCCCCCCCAGTCATTTCTTCCTTGCCTGTTTTGATAGAGTTCCTGGAGGCCACTGGCCATTTTTCCAGTGTTAAACGGAGTAAGTTTTGCTATGGAAGCCGTGACGAGACATACTGTGGTGGAGTGTGAGCAGGAAACTATAGCTTAGCAAGATGGATGGAACCCAGTGTGGTCACTGTCCCTTCCTGGGTAGACATTTCCATGCTGCCCTCCTGGCTCTACTTTCTCCTGCTCAAGTGAATGAGCACCTACCTGCTGCAGACAACTAGACCCAAGAATGAAGGAATTATGGGTCAACGATTCCTGGATGAAAACTCGTAACACGTCCAGACACGTGACGTTTGCTAGGTTTGCACTAAAGTTTCCAAGAGCCACAGGAGTAGACCCTTGAGTAACAGGAACTGGACAAAGGTGGTGAGTTTCTACATCTCAGCCACTTTGGAATTAGCACCATTTATGCTCCTGGACGTGGTTTCCCTGTGTGCTGTGCATGGGGGATGGTAACGAGCAAGATGAGCCTTCCAGGAGGAGCGTGAGGGAGGCTTGTTTTTATGACTGGTTCGCATTTTGGTGTTGGGGGGTAATCTTACCAGGCACCCTGGACTTGTTAGGCTTTTCTGTGTCTCAACTTTAGGATCAGCAGTTTCGTGTCTATACACCCACAGCTGCATGATCCTAAAGTTTTGATCCATTTTATTTTCACATCACCCTCCTAGAGTATCTGTTTCCCGGGAAGGTGTGAATTCATCCCATAGCAGAGCATTGTGGTTTTGGATCATTCTGTAAACATGTTTTGAGCCTCTTGCTATGTTAGCTGGGCACTGTAAAGATGCCAAATATATAATGTCAAATTATTCACAGTCCTTGTGAATGTGTGGAAGGACAGTACAGTGTCTTCAGAGTCAGTGCCATCGCCTGTAAAAGTGAGAAAATAATGGTGCCTACATCACAGGCTGCCTGTGAGGTTAAATCAGTTAGATATGAAAGGCACTTAGAACAGTATGTGGCACATAGTAAGCCTGGTGTAAAGCTTGGCTATAATGACTGTTGTCATCATCAAGATTGCCATTGTTGTTAACACTGACATACCTACCGCCCACCCGCAGTAGGTCCAGTGGGTGTGGGAAGGAAGGAGTGGTGTAATGATCAAAGGAGGTTTTTCAGGAGAGGTCATTTTTGAGCTGCATCTTGAAGGAAGAGTAGATGTTGACCAAGAAGACAAAACAGAGAAGAATATTCCAAGTTGAGGGAAAGTGACAAAGGCCCAGGGCTATGGAAACACCGAGTGCTTTGGGCAACTCACGGTGCAGGAGTGAGGGGGATACCTGTGGGTAATGGTGAGAAAAGAAGCTGGATCCAGAGGAGCCTTGAGTGCTCCCCTGGGGTTCTCTGTGAGACAGGAGAGGGAACCTGCTGAGTGAGCCGCCTGGAGCAGGCCGGGGAAGATGGCAGCAGTCCACGTGGACACTGTGAGGGACAAAGACCAGCTGGTAGGACTTAGCTCAGGGTGGAGACTGAATTTGTAGGTGAGAAAATAAGAAAAATCCACTCGTCATAGGAGAGACTCTGATCAGAGGCTCTTTTGGGTGCAAGAAGGAGAGATGATTTCCAACCGGAGGAACCAGAGCAGACTTCATAGAGGTTGTGTGTGGACGTGAAAAGACTGAACAGCAAACAGACCCTGAAGACTTGAATGATGTGTCAGGAAGCTGGACTTTATTTCTAGGCCACTGAGGGTTTTAAACTGTGGAGCCACATGATCAGATTTGTGCTCCAGGAAAGGCATTTTGGCAGGACTATGGGGGCTAAACTGGAAGAAGGCCACACTCAAAGCAGGCAGACAGTTGGAGAAAAATCTAAGGCCTCAAAGACCTAGAGTCAGAACCATGCTGTGCTCGCCCCACAGGCACCAGGGGTGAAGGCAAAAGTGTTCTGCCCGCCTCACACACCTGCTGCTGCTACCTGCCCTCCCCCGCCGCCCTTCCTGGCCATGCTCCTCCAAGAAGGCCTGCAACCCACAGGACTCAACCATGCCCCTTTCCTCTCACTGCTAGGTGCTTTCCAGAAATGTGGGGTGCAGGCAGAGGACTACAGGGTCATCCCAAAGATGCCCGAGGGCAGTCTGACCCTAAGACCCCTAAACTGGAGCATCTCTGAGAAGCTTCAGTGCCACAATCGTGGAACCAAGGGGTTGGGTGTACAGAGGTTCCACCAGGCCCCCGGAGTGCCTGATGGAGCCTACCTACAGTTTGAACGGCCCACCGTGGATGCCACAGGAGTGGGCCAGCCAGCACATCCATCATGCTCACACCTTACTCCCACACAGGGCACTTGAGCCCTCTCTGTGATAATTAATCCCCACAAAGCATCCTCCCTGGTGGGATGAGCAGCCCCAGGTTACAGATGAGGAATTAAGGTTGGCACTAATTAAAGTCACTTGTGGAGGGACGTACTGTTAGTAGTCTTGAACCTAGGGCTGGCTTCCAATCCCATGCCTGTTAGAAAGTGCCAGCTGAAAGGATATTTTCACATTACAATGGCAACATTTTAGGCATCATGGCATACCTTAGAAAAGGTCCTTCGAAGGTCCATGGATTTCCATGAGCAGAAGAGAGCATCGGGATCATTCTCCCTTCTTGCTGCTGGTGAGCTGGTGACAGTGATGAGACAGACACCGCTAATGCCAGGTCCCCGAGAGCCCTTGGAGCCAGCAGCTTTGAGTGGGAAATGAGAGTTTGTGGGTGCTTGTCGAGTGGCACTCACCCTGCTTGTGTCTTCAGTTGGTGCATTTTATCTCAGGGGCCCACCTCAATGACCTTGGTCCCAAGGTGGGCACAGGTGGTGTTCTAGGTTTCGTTCAATGTCCCCATGCTGACATCTTCCTCTCGCCCTCCTTCTGCCGCAGATCCTGGCGCCCCTGTGAAATTGCCTTGTCTGCCAGTGAAACTGTCGCCTCCGCTACCTCCAAAGAAAGTCATGATCTGTATGCCTGTAGGGGGGCCAGACCTCTCCCTGCCATCCTACGTGGCTCAGAAGAGTGGCCAGCAGGGCGGGGCCCAGCACCACCACACGGTCCTGCCGTCCCAGATCCAGCACCAGCTGCAGTATGGCAGCCTCGGCCCGCATCTCCCCTCCACCACCGGCTCCCTCCCCATGCACCCCTCGGGCTGCAGGATGATAGACGAGCTGAACAAAACCCTGGCCATGACCATGCAGAGGCTGGAAAGGTAATGGGGGTCGGGGGTGGGGGGATGAGGGCAGGAAGGGAGGGCTCGGCTTGCGGGGGGGGCAGTCGGGAGAGGGGTTGGGGATATGACCATGACTGAGGAGTGTGGAGACCAGGGCAAGGACTCATCCCCACTGGGGGGAAAAAAGTTTGAAGGTAAAATCAAACCAAAGATTGAATGTCAAGGAAAGTAAGGAAGAAAAAAATAATGCTGTCAATTGCCAGACTACAGAACAATCACATTTATCAAAAAGAAAAAGTAACATATATGTGTATGTATGTATTATGCTGGCACATATTAGGCTTCCGTAAGTCTTAACATGTTTTGAAAGCATGTACACATAATCATTAATAGTGGTTACCCCTATGGCAGGGAGATGAGGAAGAAAATCTTTTATATTTCATATCTTTCCATACTGCTTAATTTTTTATTTTGTGTATATTACTTTTATGATATAAAATGACAACTTGGGTGTAAAATAAGAAAAGACAAGAGCTGGTAGAGCAGTAGTGAAAAATGGGGGATGGGAAAGGTGGAGAGGTGTGCCCTTGTTCTTGCTGATGAAGGAAGCAGAGTACTGTGTAGTCATGCATCACTTCATGACAGGGATGCATGCCGAGAAATGGGTCATTAGTCAATTTCATCATTATGCAAACATCATGGGGTGCACTTACACAAATCTACATCATATAGCCCACTGCCGATCTAGGCTGGATGGTACCTATCTTATGTGGCCACCATTGTGTATGTAGTCCATTGTTGACCAAAATGTTGTTACGTGGCATTTGACTGTTGTCTGACTGTATGAGTGTGAGTCCCTAATATTTAGCAATAGCCAGTGCAGCGTTCTCTCGCTGGAATCTGCCTCCAACAGCATTGCTGGGAAATCTGCCAAGACAACCCCCAAAGGCAGGCCTACAGCAGAGACCCTGACTCCGTACCACCCAGGGGAATCTCTCATGCTAGTTCTGAATCGCTCTGAGGGGTGTGTGTGTGTGTGTGTGTTCATTCATTCATTCAAACATCACCGCCCTGGTGCCCAAGAGATTTCCCATTATGATTCCAAGGCGTACTGCTTGACCTAGTTCCCTGGCATGACAAGAAGAAAGTATCGAGATCTGGCGTGAAGGATGTGTCTGAGCTGGGACCCTGAATGCCTGTCCCAGGTTAGTGACCACGGTTAACTGGGTCCTGCAGATGGGAAAACTGCAGCCTGGAGGGCCCAGCCGGTCACTAGGCAGAGAGCCAGAGGCTAGATGGACACGGTTGGGAACTTTCCGTTGTAGTTTTCTGACTCGTAGAGGTTTTCTCCCTTCCTACCTCTCAGCCAGGTATTCTATGCTTGGAAAATTAGTGACTCCAAGGGAATTTGTTGTCGCTAGGAATTCTGACTTGATTGTACCACGGTAATATCTACCTTTACTGAAAAAAATATTTGGCCCTTTGCCATCATTTTCAACTACTGTTATTATTAATGAGGCCAATAATCATTTAAAATTTGGATGGCACTTTTTAGTCTATTACACAGTTTTGTTATCATCTTAGTCCACACACTACCCAGGGAGACTGAGTAAGTGGAGAAACTAAGGGAGGCTGAGTGAGTTCCCCAACGCCAGCTACTCAGATGTGGTCCACAAACTGTTTGTTGCCCATCGGCAACCATATAGGTGCAGAAATTGAGAGCAAGCTTTTAGACACTTTGGTGGCAATTTGACAGAATCATTTTATGTCTGTTGAATCTTATGATAAAAAAAGAGTTTCACTTTTTATATATTTATTATTTTTACAAAAGCATCAGTTTGCGATGGGTTGAAAATTAAAATATGTAAATCAACCAACCAGCCAAACTGGTCCTTCCCTGCACTTCCCCTTGAAAAGCGCTGCCCTAGTCGGTAAGTCTCAGGGCCACCCCTTAAAGCTTGGGTCTTCCTACTGCAAATCCAGAACTCTTTCTACTGTAGCACAGCTGCTTTCCCAAAGACAGCTAGCGGTCAACATAATTTCCTATCCCCCTGTCTACTGTATATCCAGTGAGTTTCTCTATCTCTCAGGAGCTTTAATCCATTGAAAAAGATGCTCATGACACTATATTAGGAGGATATTGCTAAATACGTTTCCACTTGAAGCACACCATTTTAAAAGGTTCAATTGAGAGTACTAACCAACACGTTACACTGTGTTCAACAATTTCTGTGTATATTTGTAGAATATTTAAGTTGAGCATAGACAAGGGGTAAGTCTGTTGGACCTAAACTGGGTCAGGTTCTTTATTGAAATGAATCAAAGAGAACAAACGGGGGCGAGGGGCGGGAGAGATACTGTGATATTGTAGGAGGAGGGGGTGAGGTGGGAGACAGCATGATCTTGGCAGCTGAGCCAAGATCGTCCCTTGCGCTTTCTGCCACCATCAGACTCTTGTTACCTCCTTCTGTCTCCCACCCCAGATCAAGGCAAAGGGTTATTCTGATAGACCAGCTGGGACATAGGGAGCTAAGGCATACATCACTTTGACAAGATGGCCCTCCAGAGAAAGAGAGGCCTTCTTCCCAAACATAGAAAGATTGAGAGATTTTTCTGAGCATCCACATCATCTTGCAGGAGTCCTGGAAGGATCTGAGAGCAGAACAAGGTCACAAGCCCCCTGTCAGTTTAGTGTGGAAACTGCTGTTGTCTCTGGTGATGTTGCCCTTTTTTTTATCATCTAAAAATTCTCCCGGTTGCCTGTCAACATGATTTCATTCTTGTTCTGACCAACTTTAATATAGAAGGAAAGAATTACTTTTCTCTTCTGGCAATTTCCAGTGACCCCAAAAAACACTGCAAGAAGGAAGAAACATTACTGAACGTTTAGACATTCTGCCTGCAAAGACCTTGGGATCTCATAACACATCACCTGTAGGGCGTTAGTCCGGACCTAGAGTCTGACCCTGATGAAATTGTAGGTAATGTGAAAACCGAGCAGAGAATTAAACAGCATTACCGCCTGTCTTGGGACCATAAATTTAAATAAATAGCCATCTTACAGTTGAAAGGGATCTTAAAGACCATCCCAGCAGCCAGCCCCCTGCCCACTGCAGTGTTCCTCACTGTTTGTCGTCTAGTCTCTGCGGGAACTGCTGGTCCAAAGATAGCCCACCTCATTGTCGAGAAGACCTGATTATTACAAAGTTCTTCCTTATATTAACTTAAAGGTTTTACTTATTGTAACTCTCCCCCACAGTCTTATTTCTAATCTTCCTTTCCTGTGAAAGCCTTTCAAATCTTTGAAGGTAGCCAACATTTACTTTACCTAAGGACTTCTCTCTTCCATGCCAGTACTCCCAAATTCATGTAATCATTTACTAAAATGGTTTCTCGACCTTTACTATTTTGTTTATGTTCTTCCAAATCTGTTCTGATTTGTATGAAGAAGTTCTTAATCATTGCCCAAACCTGAACCTGCCTGATGACACTGAAAAACGACACGTAGTTAATTCCTTACGGCATTGGCACACCAGATTCAGGGGGAGGGGTGCAGAAGGAGAGAACTAGAGACCAGTTGATGCAAACGTAAAGAGTTCCATGTTTATTTAAATTCACGGGGCTGCCCTAGTCTTCATGGCCACACTGGAGTCATGGCGAGTCCGTGGGCTCCAGACTCTAACTACCAGTGTTTCAATCTCAGATACACTTCTTTGTGACTATGATTCCTCATCTGTAAAACAGTGATAATAATAACACCACCAACCTCATTAGGGTTGTCTGTGAGGAACAAATGACTTCATCCGAATCAGTTGTCTTACTGCATGGCATAACAGGAAGTGTCCAATAAATGGTAGTGAAGATTGAGCAAAATTAGATAGCACACAAAATTTGCCTTCAACGCCCCTAAAAGGCATATTGCAAATAGGTTTGACCCCATCTTCTTGGAGATTTTATTTGTGTCAGTTTCCTCAGTTAGATTTTCTCCATTTGTTTTCTCCCCGCTTCTGATTCATATCTTTTTTGAAGGTGACATTTTATAATTTCAAATATTATGCAATTACTTTTTTGTTTTTTTTTAAGGAAGATTAGCCCTGAGCTAACATCCATCGCCAATCCTCCTCTTTTTGGTGAGGAAGACTGGCCCTGAGCTAACATCCATGCCCATCTTCCTGTAGTTTATATGTGGGACGCCTGCCACGGCATGGCTTCATAAGCGTTGCATAGGTCTGTGCCCCGGATCTGAACTGGCAAACTCCGGGCTGCCGAAGTGGAGTGTGCAAACTTAACTGTTGCGCCACCAGGCCGGCCCCTACAATTACTAAGTTTAATGTCTGCAGTAAACTCTGATCTAGTTAGCATCAATCTTGGAATTCAGACTTAAAATCCTAATCAGCCACTAATTTTCTTTCCCTTCTTAATTCAGTTGCTCAGCTCTCTGTGCTCTGGTTTCCCTCTTGGTAAAATGAAGGTGGTAGATGTACCCTGGGTGACCCTAGAGAAATTTTAGGAAGATTCTTAAGGGAATGCACTTTAAAGAAGTCTTTCTCTTCTCAATTAAAGGGAAAGGGAATTCAACTTCTAGTTGATCAAGCTAAAAATCTTGGGGTCACCCTTGATACCTGCCTTTCTATTGAACTCCACGTCTGGTGGGTCAGCAGATCCTATCCGGTCTACGGTGAGACAACATCTAGGATCGGCCACTTCCCACCTGCTCCTGCTGCTGCCCCGTGGTCTGGGCCTCCATTGCCCCTCACCTGGCATGCTGCAGTCCCGCCTGCCTGGTCTCCTGCCTCTCCCTCTGCCCCCTCAGTCCATCCATAACACAACTGTCAGAGATGACCGTTAACAAAACTCAGATCATGACTGTATTAATGTGCTGGGGCTGCCTTAACAAAGTACCATAGAGGGGGTGGTTTAAACAGAAGAAATTTATTCTCTCACAGTTCTGGAGTCTGGAAGTCCAAGATCAAGGTATCAGCAGGGTTAGTTTCTTCTGAGGTCGCTCTCCTTAGCTTGTCGGTGGCCATCTTCTCCCC